GTATATTACAAATAAGTCTATGTGATAAACTTCTGAAATATCAGCTCTTCCTTATTCTTCAAACTGAAGAAATTGTTTTTACGAGTTCCAAGTTTATTCCTAATAGAATAGCGAAATAAGTATGTTTCCTGGTCATAATCAGAAATCATGTATTGAAATAAAATTAACATATCATATAAAGTGGTCCTTTCTCCCACGTACTTCAATAAGTGTCACAGGTCAAAGGATATAGAAAGTCTAGGGTTCAGATCAGTGTTTCTCAAAGGAACTGTGCAACACTACGGTCAAATAAGAAAAATTAACATCATAAAGAGTGAACCTTCACTAATGAAGTCTATACATTTAACAAAATCCCAAAAATAATAGGTTTTCTTCATGGGAAGGGTGGTAACTGGGTACGATTCTTTTAAAGTTCATATTTTTAAAACACACACACAAGTATTAAAATTCTGTGAAATAGGACTTAAAATGGGGAGACTTACCCCTATTAAAAAGAAAAAAAAAAAAAAACTAAGCCTCAGAAAGTTAAAACAATGCAATTCTGCTGCATGAATAGGCAGATAGATTAATGAAACTAAACGGTTATCCCAGAAATAGACCAAAATCTACATGGAAATTTATACTATAAAAGAAACCAAAGGAGAAAAGTTGGGATCGTTCAGTAAAATTGGAATTTTTAGCCAAATCTCTAGGCAATATGGCAGAGACTGCTAATTTTCCACTAAAATCCCTTCTTTCCTTCTTCTTAGGTACAAGGCAGCCAACACAGACTTCACTTTTCAGTCTCCACTGCAGCTAGATGTACCCACATAACAAAGTTCTCATCGCTATAGTTCTCTGTAGTGATGTCTGCAGTTTCTGATCACTAGCCCTGGACTTTCTCCTTTGCCCTTCCCATGGAGGGGACCCAGATACAGCAGCAACTCAGATAGGACCATGCAGATAATCACAGCAACAATTACTAGAGCCAAAGGACAGAAGGAACTCAAGCCTCTGAATGATCAGTGGATATGGGCGGTTCTGCTGATCTGTTTTGCTTACACGGGGACTGTTAAGTGAAGAAAAAATAAACTTCTGTGCTTTGAACCATAGCATATTTCAGTCCCTTGGTTACAGCAATTCAACCTAACTCGAATTAATAGAGCATCTAGAGAAAAATTCATTTGAATTCATACCTAACATTTCAGATGGATCAAAGACTTAAATCTAAAAAAACCCCACATGACATTAGAATGAACCAGGAGATGGTGGGTCTTTAAATCTAAAAATGAAAGGAGGTCTTTTAACTATAATACTATGATATTGACCGTTTCCTCCGATGTAAGTAAGAATGTAACTTCCGCTGCGGAGCAAGAATTGGGGTCTGCCTTTTTACTACTGTATAGCCTGTTGCCTAGAACAAGTTCTCATACACAAGAGGCATTCAATAAATAATTGTTGATTGAATAAATTGGTAATTTTAACTATATAAAATTTGTAATAACCTGCACAACAAAGTAACAATTATTTCTATATAAATGGCCAACTGAGAAAAATACAAATAGCACATATCACAAGGATAAAAAGGGGGGACTGATAACTTTGATGCCATATTTTGATAATAAAAATCATAACCCAACAGCAAAATAGACAATGAACACAAACATAGAAAGAAGATAGCTAGAAATAAAAGTGGCTTTTAAACTCATGAAAAGATGCTCAATCTCAATCAAACTAAGAAAAATGCAAATTAAAGCACATTAAACTGCCATTTTTTACCTATTGCACTGTTAACCACATTAGGAAACTATGAACAATTTTAACCCTGTTTCATAATTATCACAGGGGTAGCAATTAACTACAGCCATCATCTACTTCTCCCTCAAATAAATATATACAGAAAATAAAGTCTGTCTCCTAATACCATCTCTGTTATTCATTACTTCCTCTTAAAACTAATTCAACCTCACACCACCTTAAATGGGCATAAAAGTGTCTCAAAATGCTCAAAGGATGGTAGCCAGAACTAACAACTATGCTAATATATTAACAGCTTCCAAAAAATAAAAATTTCACAAAACTGACACCTTGGCAACAACCCCAAGGAGTGCATCGTCTGCCTTCGAAAATAAAAACACATATCCTTAGCGACCAAAAGTCCAATGTCAACAGTCATGGCCTTGGTTTTGTCCATAATGTGAAAGGCCTCTTGCCTACCCCCTTTAAAGTATGGACTAACCTCTCACTTGAGGACTGGTGATTATTACGTTACAGCCATATAAGGGACACTAGGCAGGGATTACTCACCCTGAGATTAAATTCTGCTTAAAAGGAAAAATATCCACAATATACCAAGTCAAGCCAAAAAGCAAGTTGTAAAATAGAATGTATGCTCATGTTCCACCAATTTTTAACATAATTAATACGCATATTTGTTTGTGTATAAAAATATCTATATATGAAAAGGTTTATGAACAGGAAAGTTTATATTCTAAGATTTCAGCAAAAGGTGAAAGAGAGAAGGGAAGAACTTTTATCTTTATATATGGCTATACTTTATACCGTTTTGTATTATCTGAAATGAAATAATCAAAATTAACTTTTACATAAAATATAAAGCTATGGGGGGCTAAGGCAGGAGGATCACTTGAGGCCAGGAGTTCAACACCAGCCTGGGCAACAGAGTGAGACCCCGTCTTTAAAAAAAAACAAACAACAAAAGATAGCCAGGTGTGGTTATATACATCTATAGTCCTAGCTACTTGGAAGGCTGAGGCAGGAGGATCCCTTGGGCCCAGGAGTTTGAGGCTGCAGCGTGCCATGATTGCATCATTGCTCTCCAGTCTAGGCAACAGAGTAAGATCCTGCCTCAAAATAGTAATAATAATAATAATAATAATAATAATAATAATGACTGTTTTATAATAATACATTGGACTTTCCTTTAAAAAGAATGCACCTAATAGCCGTATCAGAGACTTTCCTCAAAAGTATTAAATCTAAGAAGGCTACATAAACCAACCCTGGCAGAACTTAATCCTCAATTCCTTGCCTCTGTCTCCACATACATGGTTCAAACCATATCTGAGCAACTCAAACGTTAAATTAAGAAAGACACACACATCAACATTTTGCACTTCAGGCTTCCCCTCACAGAAACATCTTACTGACTCTATTCCAAGTAGGTATACACATTACCCCCATAACTTATCACACCCTTAATATCGTTTCATCCTGGAGAGCGAGACTTTTGTGTTTTTGTTTTGTTTGTTTTTGATACAAGGTCTTGTTCTATTGCCCAGTCTGGGCTGCAGTGGTGCGATCACAGCTCACTGAAGCCTCAACCTCCCAGGTTCAAGTAATCCATGTGCCTCAGCCTTTCAAGTAGCTGGGAATATGTGCACCTGCCAAGATGCCTGGCTAATTTTTTTTTTTTTCCTTTTTTGTAGAGACAGGGTCTCACTATGTTTTCCAGGCTGGTCTCAAACTCCTGGACACAACTGGTCCTCCTCCTTTGGCCTCCCAAAGCACTGGGATTAGAGGTGTGAGCCACCATGCCTGGCTCAAGGCTTCTTTATGCTTTCAAAGCACTCCACGGGAAATGTATTATTAAAATATAGTTCTGGAAAAGGTAATGTATGGACACAGTAAAAAGCCCAGTGACTGCCAAGGGCTAGTGGGGATGGGAAATGAATAGGTAGAGCACAGAGATCTTTAGGGCACTGAAACTACTCTGTATAATACTATAATGGTAGATGCATGTCATTACTCATTTGTCCAAACCCACAGAACGTACAACACCAAGATTGAACCTAATGTAAATTATTGCCTTTGGGTGATAATGATGTGTCAATGTAGGTTCATTGATTGTAGTAAATGTACTACTCTGGTATGGGATATTAACAGTAGGGGAGGTGTTGGGGACATAGACGAGAACTCTATTTTCTGCTCAATTTTGCTGTGAACCTAAAACTCCTCTAAAAGAAATAATGTCTATTTTAAAGGAAAAAATTAGGGCCGGGCACAGTGGCTCACACCTGTAATCCCAGCATGTTGGGAGACCAAGGCAGGCGGATCACAAGGTCAGGAGTTTGAGACTAGCCTGGCCAATATGGTAAAACCCCATCTCTACTAATAATACAAAAAAAATTAGCCGGGTGTGGTGGCGCGTGCCTGTAGTCCCAGTTACTCAAGAGGCTGAGGCAGGAGAATTGCGTGAACCCGGGAGGTAGAGGTTGCAGTGAACCGAGATCATGCCACTGCACTCCAGCCTGGGTGACAGAACAAGACTCCATCTCAAAAACAAAACAAAACAAAACAAAACAAAACAAAACAAAAACTTAGGCCGGGCGCGGTGGCTCAAGCCTGTAATCCCAGCACTTTGGGAGGCCGAGACGGGTGGATCTCGAGGTCAGGAGATCGAGACCATCCTGGCTAACACGGCGAAACCCCGTCTCTACTAAAAATACAAAAAACTAGCCGGGCGAGATAGTGGGCGCCTATAGTCCCAGCTACTCCGGAGGCTGAGGCAGGAGAATGGTGTGAACCCGGGAGGCGGAGCTTACAGTGAGCCGAGATCGCGCCACTACACTCCAGCCCGGGCGAGAGAGCAAGACTCCGTCTCAAAACAAACAAACAAACAAACAAACAAACAAAAAAGAAAGGAAAAACTCAATGTAGTGGCCCTGTAAGGTGAAAAGGATGGCCGGGGCATTTTATAGGTAGGGAAACATTGTCAGTATTTATCTGAAAAACTTGGCCAAATTTAAAGAATAGCTGTGCAGATCCACCCAACAAAGCCTACTATGAAAGCAACGTCAGAACTAAGAACTATTAGGCTGGTCCTAACTTTCTTATGTTGGATTCATATTAAAAAAATAATAATAATTTGTGGCAAAGAATTTACCCTGTAGATTTGATCTCTGCCAAAGAGTATTAAAAGAAGTGATTTGCTGAAGTGGCTGCACTGCTGGTTCTGGCAACGCGTCTCTGAGAGCTCCGGGTAAAGCTGACTCAGCTACCTTAACGCAGGCTCCTGGTCACATCTGTCCAAAGTCCTTCAAGCTGCGTGCCCTCGTTCAGGGTTTCTCTCACTCTGGTCACTGGGGTACTCGGGGAGTAGAAGAGGCGTTCCTGGGATTGAGTTCTCCAGCAGCTTTCACTTTGGCAGTGTGACGCTTAACAACGTTCCAGGCTGCAGAGGGAAAGAAGAAAGAAAACCAGCTAAGCAGAAGAAAATCCTGTAGTTGTGAATGTGGTGGCTAAAGGAAGTACACATTTGGCACATCTTTCAATTTGTACCATAAAACGAAGCCCATCTACAAGTGCAGCAAGTACAGAAAAGTTTGAAAACACTGATAGGAAGAGTGTGAAGGTCATGGATCTACACTGGTCTTTAAATATTTTTCTAAACAACACAAAAACCAGTAAGATCTGCAGTCGGCACATTTCAAAATCAAGTTCCTTTAAAGCCTATACACTATGTACTCTAGCCCTTTCCTCTCCTTCCCTTGCCACACACAAAATCAAACAACAATTTTGACTCTGCATGTACTATTATGTGCATTTGAGGCAGGCGGATCATGAGGTCAGGAGTTCAAGACCAGTCTGGTCAATATAGTGAAACCCTGTCTCTACTAAAAATACAAAATTAGCCGGGTGTGGTGGCACATGCCTGTAATCCCAGTTGGTGGGGAGGCTAAGGCAGGGGAATCACTTGAACCTAGGAGGCGTAGGTTGCGGTAAGCCGAGATCATGCCATTGCACTCCAGCCTGGGCAACAAGAGCAAAACTCTGTCTCAAAAATAGAAAAAAAAATAGTTTGAGCAGTACAAACTATAGAATGAAAAGTCTTCCTCCCGTTCCAACATCCCTGGCCTCTCCTAGAGGTATCCAATGTACCAGAGTAACCAATTTCTTGTATATCCATTCAAATAGATCTGATTTTGGTCTATTTTCAAGCAACAATCTCTGGCATAGACAGATCTGGTTCAAAGGCTCATAAAACAATGGTGGGGAAGGAGCACAAAGCGGAAGGGAAGAGGAGCGGAGCTCTAGATATCTAATAAAAAACAAAAACCCACCCAGGCCCCCTTTTCCTTTAGGAAGACTTGAAAAACATCAACATTTGCCAAAGGAAGAGGAAATTTTTATTAGAACCAAAGGAAGAGGAAATTTTTATTAGAACTAAACTTTCCCATTCAAATTGTTAAGTAATACAAAACACTGAAAAACTTACTGCCTTCAGAAAACAGCACCTTTTTTTTTAACCTCAAGGAACATTTTGCTAAGAAAACCTTCACGTAAATAAATCTAAGCAGAAAGCAAGCCCCAAATGCAGCACTCTGCAATAATGATGGAGAAAAATCTTCCCATCCACCTTGGAATTCAGGGGAACTGTTTTACAGATACTATCAAACCGTTCCTCACTTCAGATTAAATTGAGGCTCACAATCTATTTGAAAATAAAATCTAGACATATAATAGGCGCAGTAAGAAAAAGACATGTAAAACTATCTTCCATAGAGAGGTCAGCCAGAAATTTGTCTTTTTCAGCAATCACTTAGCAAAGTTAAAGAGCAAAAATGCATTTCTAAAGTGGGCATCCTTAAAAACAAACTCATCAGCTGAGCAGCACCCACAAACCCTTGAGTTTCAGAACAAACTGTTGAAATACTGGTATTTTCCAAGATGCTGGGGCCAGGGAAATCTGGCAGAGTCACACTAAAGCTGCTTTCCCCTCTGCCAAAGACTAACTGCATTTTAAGAGGAGGCCAGTGTTCAGCTGTCCTGCCTAGGGTCAACCATGTCTTTTAAGTGAGAGTTACTGTATTGGTGGGAAGAGGTTTAGATAAACCAGAAAATAAACACCGGTACGTATTTTTCTGATTCTCTTTTTAAAAATCAGAGACTCTCTCTTTTTTTTTTTTTCCCCCTTATCATAAAGGTGCTTCTAATTTGCCATCCAACATCCCAGCCCCATCATCTTCACTGCATGGAATTCCTTCTCATCCTTCAAGACAGTGTTTGGGTTCCCCTGCCTCTGTCCAGTCTTCTCTAAAGATTCTTATATTTCCCAGATCTTTCTAATTCCCCTGGTATTTATATTCTATATGACAAACAACCTGGCATTAATTCCCTGCCATGCACTGGGTTTCTCGAAACCAATTCAAAACTAGATAAAGATCACATATTATTCTTCAGTGTTTAGCCCTCTTTCACGATACTTAGCATATACTTGGTGCTCAAGAGTTTAACTAAATCTCCAAGTTAAATATAATTTAACATTTGTTTTAAAATTCACTGGGCTCTCAAACAAACCATGGACTGAAATCAAAACTGTGGTGTACTATAAGAAAGACCAGGTTGGTAAAATGGCAAATAACATGTTGAACTGGATACTTAACTCTTCAAATGTTCTACTTGGCACCCATCTCCCCACAATACCCTTCATATCAATAGGCAAGCTCGGCACACCTGAAATGTAGCTAAAAACTGTTGTGTTCAAAACCCCAAGAGGGACTGAAAACATAAAAACCAACTCCCCAGAAAGATATACTCACTAATTAAAATCAGTGCTATTGTTCAGGTGCAGTGGCTCATGCCTGTAATCCCAGCACTTTGGGAAGCCGAGGTGGGTGGACCACCTGAGGTCAGGAGTTCAAGACCAGCCTGGCCGACATGGTGAAACCCTGTCTCTACCAAAAATACAAAATTAGCCAGGCATGGTGGCAGGCGCCTGTAATCCCAGTTACTCAGGAGTCTGAGACACCAGAATCGCTTGAACCTGGAAGGTGGAGGTTGCACTGAGCCAAGAGCAGCGCCACTGCACTCCAGCCTGGGGAACAGAGGGAGAATCTGTCTCAAAAAAACAAACAAACAAACAAACAAACAAAAATCAGTACCATGAAATAAATATCTATATAATAAACTCTAGCAAATTTTCAAAAACCATTCATTGAGCTGAGTTTTTCCCAAAAATTTAGCCAACTTATTTGGCAATGGAGTTTCAATTCTTGGCAGCTAATCAAGCTGTGTAAAAGTCTGACCCTAAAGGGTCAAAGGCACATTCCTGAGCAGGGGGTTGGAGGATGACAATGAAGAAGGAGAAGGAAAATCCAATCCAATTTTCTAACTCTAATTTTGGGCATTTAACATTACAGTACAGTTTTCTTTAATCCAGTTTAAAAGAACATGCATAGTTTCTTAAAAGTTGTTGCAATATGATGGGACCTGAGTAACAGGCAAGCATAAAAAGCAGTTAAAATCAAACAAGCTCTTGGCAGTCCACACAGCAGCTAAGCAACAGGAAAAAAAAAAAAAAAAAAAATCAAGACAAGTTTTCTCAGCTCTTTAGTTACAACCATATCCTTGGCTTCTAGAAACTGTGGCTTCTAAACATTGCAAATCCTTACCCTTTCAAGAACCATTCCATACTCTCCCTGTCTGTTCACCCAGTCCATAAACCAAATAAACCATGGTGTATCTTGCTGTGGAATTGCCATTAACCAGAACTACTTCAGAAAGCAGGATATGGTAGCAAGAACATAGACTTAGGAAGCAGCCAAATTCAGTTTTCCAACCTATTAAATGTGACCTCTGCAAATCATTTAACCTCTGAGTTTCAGTTTCCTTTTCCATGAAATGGGGTAAATACTTCCCATCTAGTTACTAATTATAGTAGCTATCATTTAGTGAGTTCTTAGTTCTATAACTGTGCTAACCACATTACTTGCATTGTCTGACTTAATCCTAACAATGAAATTGAGAGGTTATATTATTCCCAAATTATGCATAAGAAAATGTGAATGACCATAAGAAATGAGAATTTCCAGGAATTTCTCCAGAATATATTGTTCTTAAAATACTTCCATTCTTTACTCATGATTATTGCTAAATGGGAACTATCATACTTAGTAGTATTTACAAAGAATTGTAGCCTATAGCAAATACTAAGATCCTGGAAAATGCCAGTGAACATTATTGGATGTTATGCCAGTAGCGAGCAAACTTCAGCCCACAGTCTGGATTTGTAAATAAAAGTTTTATTGGAACAGGCACACTTGTTCATTTTAAGTACAGTCTATGGCTGCTTTCACACTGAAATGGTAGAACTGATAGTTGTAACAGAGTCCGTATGGCTTGCAAAACCTAAAATATTTACTATCTGGCCCTTTAGAAAGAGACTTTGTTGACCACTGCAATAACCTACATTCAGATCTACAAGCAAATTAACAGTACGACACAGACTCGTATGTTGAAGTTGCCAATTTAAAGACTCAGTTTACTTCTAAAATTTATTTCTTGTAATACCAAGCACAGGATATGTATACAGTATGCTATGCATATAAACTTATTTTATTTGCAAACACGACAGATCGACGGTAGTAGCAGATTGGGTCACAAAGACACATTTTTAACATGGCAACAGCGAGAAGAAATCATGACCCATTCTCTCCCACGTGCTCCTATCCTGCGCTGGCTCCAAAAAAGGTGGATCTTATCCTTCAACTCCGCAAGTCAGCTTTTCCTGTTCTTGCTTTCAACTTGACATCAGTGAATTCTTCCTACTGTCATTGTGTTGACTCATACAATTCTCACAGGAGAATTACAACACTTTTTCCCATTTACCTCTTAAGTGATGTTTCTAGGGATTTGGAAAAACATATATATTTCCCAAGAAATCCCGAGAAGGAATTCTGCGACAGAAACACTGTTCTCTCCAGGTGTATATCTAGAGACAGAGTAGGAATCATATGTTAGACTTCTAGAGAATGAAGTAAAAAAAGCTGGGGAGGGAGGGCAGAGCATGAGGAAAAAGAAAATCTCCAAGATGTTTTAAGGAAAAGATTCAGGTCTGCCTTACAGCCTAGAAAGAAGACCGGGCCAAAGTGGAAATACAGTGAAGATGGGTTTTCCTAATGCTTTGGCTGAAATATTAGACCACGTTTCTCCTCCAGAATTTAACGTACAATTTGGCTAAGACAAAAGGGGCCCACTGTGGATTACTTAATTACAGAGTGTAATTAAGTACCAGACTACACTTCTAAAGATAATCTGCCTACACTCTGTAACCCCGAAACCCTCAAGTGAAGTGGTTTGGTGATCCATCAAAATCCCTTTCATCTGTCCAGCCAAAGATTCATCTACTCCTGCCAGAAATATAAAGTAAAGGAATCAAGGAGAAAACTTGAG